TAAGGGTATAATCAGATAATTTATGGCTTAACCCACCTGACTCCGGTTTTATGGGGGCTGATTTTAGTTCTGCTAATTCTAATGTTTGTTTAGGTAATGTCTGTAAACGATTTCTCGGTTAGGGGACTGATTAAATTAAAATAAATTGTAGAAAAGTTAAATTCTTTATATCACATAAATATGAAGAGCTAATTCAGATATATACACTTAGAAAATATTGCTTCGAATTTAACTTAATTGGGCCATATGATAGCAATTTTTCACATGTTATTCAGTTATAGCCGTTGTTACCAGAAACCGCGATGCAAAGATAGTTAGTGAATAAAGTGAAACGTGAACGTGAAAATACATTAAATAAAGTAAATATTTACATTTTAAAAAAATACGTTTTTTTATGGTGTTATTTAAGTAATATTATTAAACAAAAAGATGAGAGTTTCCTTTTATGGTTTTTGGAAGGTTTAAATCCAAATGAGGCTCAATTGTTTTTCTTACACACAAGGCAATTCCTATGAGCTTATTTTATGTTTTTCGTGACTCCTATATTCGCTTTGCTACTAAGGTCAGTTCAGCAAAATCAAGATTGGCCTACTAACGGACAAAATTAAGATATGTTGAATGACTACAGTCCTCTTTCGTGTTTTTTGAAGTCAGTGAAGGACCATCTACAAAGTCAATAATGTCATGTTTGACTACATTTAAATTGTGTTTATTGGTTATAGACAAGAATAAAAGATAAGAATACATCCTTAGAAGTAATTTTAAATACATTAATTTTAACCTGCTGTGGCCCATATAAGATTAGATAATGTGGGTCTTACATAGTTAATTAAATAAGTAAAAGAAATATAAAATAAAATAAAATATGACAAAATAATTTAAAAAATACAGTTGAAATTTTTCGCAATACAAAGTATCTAAAGAGCCTTCTTGTTCGTTGAAAATACAAAAATCGGACATGAACTAATATCGTATACACTAAAAATGATTTTTTTTGCCTTTGTAAGCAAACAAAACAAATTCACAAACTACATTCCGAAGTGCTTAGAAATGGTAATGTCTTTGTAAACACATTGTCGAGGATAGCTAAAAGAAAATCATTTATTTTCCTCCCCTTGGAGTTAATAGACCGGGTGCAGTATACGAATCTGCACATATTGTGCAAATAATCCCTTGAAATGTACAAGTTTATTTTTCAAGAAACATGTACATATAAAACATAAAGTTTTTATTTGATGTCTCATATTTGTGTCAGGCTTATGACAACTCGTAATTTTCTTACCTAAAATCATAATTTAGTCTATGGTTATACGTTAATATAAAATTAGGTTACAATATAGCCACTATTTGAGTAGACCTATGTGGTAGTGAATGAATCAGGTCAAGTAATAGTTAAGAGTGAGAGTGAACTATGTAATAAATTGAATTTGGTTTATGGTAATTTAAGTAGTGAAAATGCATTGAAAACACGGTATTGTTTTGTTTTTATTTGGCTTATTAATACGAAGAAACTTGTACATGTTATTAAAAATTTTACATAATATTTTGAATATTTTTATGAATAATACGACGTTTAGCTTGTAAAATAAACAATGAATCAATCGCTAACTTCAAGATGCAAAAAAAAAGGGTGAACTGTATCATTAGTAAGATCCATTGGGGAGTGTCGAGATGACAAATGATACACTTGTTACACTAATGTCTTTGATGCAATTTTATATAGACGTCAACTTAGATAAATCTGTTTTGACTTTGTTCGATTATCGGTTCGAGTAGTAAACGTTTGTTATAACATAAATAGTAGGAGTCCTCGTACTTACGGCAAGTTAGGTACTCGAAATACTCGACGTAAATCGAAACGACGTAAGTCGAGAACTGCCTGTACACACAAACAGCAAACATAAATAAATAGCTTACAAAAATAATTCAGATTCTAGATATATCGCTACATTTAATAATATATTAAGATAAGCTGCCTGCTTAAGATAAGATTTGGCGACGGCGCGGCGGCTCAACTACATATGCTAGGGTCGTTTATTTTACGTTTTAAAAGTTAAAATCTAAGATATATGCTGGGAACAAGTAAGCAAGCAATTGCATTCAGTCGCTGTACTAAAAACAAAATATGTTTAACCTTAATTCGTTATAGAAGTATTACGACTGACTGTCGAACCATTGCATAATTCTTAAGTGAACCTATTTTATAAGTGTATTTATAAACAATGCAGTCGGCGATAATTAATCTAAATATATAAATAACCAATAACAAATCCTTGCTCTATTTTTATTTTGACAGCCATTAACGCCGCACCAAGTAATAGTGATCCCATTTAAGGCGTCACTTCAGATAGGGATGCGATCATTAATCAGAGATGTATCATTATGGAGTCGCTGGTGACTATTTGTCATATAGGGTCTCACTGATAGAGGGTAAGCACCCCGTGGTAGAGAAGGGAATAAGTAGATATACATATATATAGGTACTGTAATGTATGGTTCGACATATTTTAAATTATTGTCTACATAATATATGAACGGTAAAAATTAAATTATACTTATTGTAGTAAAGAATTTTTAACCAAAAACTAGTTTTTTTTATAACGGCAGGAGGCTCACCCGATGTTAAGAGATAATGCCGCCCATAGATACTCACATTGCCATAGAGCTCGAAAGTGTGTTGCCGGATTTTAAAAGAAAGTGTAGATAATTAAAAACTGGTACATTTAAACATATTTGAAGTTTTTATCAACATAAAAAATACAAAATTTTCTTGTGCACGTAAAGTATGTGCAACAATAATTCTTTTAAAACAAGAACAACAACGAAAAAATTATTAAAGTTTTGTTTCATCCTTTATTCATTATACACATACTGTGTTAAATCATTGGTAACATATTATTCTTTTTTTTCCATTCACAAGAACAGGACTATAGACCGAAACAAATCTATTCACACGCACCTAACCACATCCAAACAATGGTTACAATTGAAATAAAAAGGAAATATAATTGATTTCGGCCGCTAGTGTTGACAGCTCTGATATTTTTGAACAAACAATGGTTAGAATTGTTATTTTGGTAACGGGATTGTGGGTAACTACTTATCTGTAGTAAACATCTAGATCAATGGTTTACATGAGTTTTCCCCAAAGAATGCCTTGCGATTCTGTAACTCACTTTTCGAACTCATACAGCGGTTTTCGCATCGGCGGTCGCTCTCAAATCAGTCGTGAAGCAGTCATTTTATGATTTGGCATTCTGATTAAACAATAAACTACAAGCTCCCACCTTTTCAGAATGCCAAATCATAAAATGACTGCTTCACGACTGATTTGAGAGCGACCGCCGATGCGAAAACCGCTGTGTGAGTTCGAAAAGTGAGTTACAGAATCGCAGGGCAGGATCCGAAACCAAAAAAATAAAATTGCGGGAAAGGCATAAAAAGTACATTCAACGCCCGTACTCTAACTTTACAATTTGGATATAGTTCTCTCAATATCGCAACCTTGACATCGTGCTGTACAAAAACTCAATATTGAATCGCAATCGCAATCGCTATTGGGAGCTAAATAGTATCGGTGCAGCCAGTGGCTTAATATCATCTGGAGCCCGTGGGAAATTCTTTCTCAGTTTAATTTTAATAAATTTCGAGATTTTCAGCGTACTCAATTACACGTTGTATATGTCCCGCTAAAGGCCATAGGCCTCCTCTCTTAGACGAGAGGGAATGGTCTGTTGTCCCCACGCTAGCCCATTGGAGACTTCACATTCATCCATAGAACATAATATCTCTTGGGCAGGGGCCCTCTTGGGTCAGGGGCCCGTGGCATTTTGCCAGCCCTGCCACCCAATTGTTACACCACTGGGTGCAGATAGCACTACGGTTTTAAGGTAAACGGCGCGTAATTTGGTTAGATTTTGTGCGGTGGTAAAAAAAATTTTAGTTTGACATTTTTGTGTTTTCATGAAACACTTTTTAATTTATTTCAACATTAAGTAGATGCCACTGACTAAACAAAGACTTTACTGATGCTCAAGATTTTTTGCAGACTGATACAAGGTGATAAAATCATGTACGTGTGCGTATATGGGTTTATTTTTGTACATTCAATCAATATTCAACTTGTCAAAGACTTTATTAAGTTTTTATATTGAAAAATATTAATTGACTAAAAATAATAAGTACCGTTTATATGAAATTACAAGTTTATAACGGACAGCTGTTGCATACCATTGAGACAATCGATCATTAGTTTAATCTGAAGTTACGCCAGTGCTTCCTCCAATAAATGGAAGTGACTACTGATACGAAAAGATTGAAATACACTGAGATGTGCATTTTATTTATATATAAATAGGTATGTTCAATAAGAGCCATTATTATTTACTATTTATGAAATTTACTTTAACAGATAAAAATATATTCATATTCAAATGAAATTAATTGTTTTAATAGTTTAATATTCAATCATAAATGTAACATTACCATATAAATATAATACCTATATCGTTTTACACTTTGTATTTTTATTGTATTTTTTAACTTTCTATATTTTTTTCAAAATCTCTGTCTACTCAAATTTTGGTTATATTTTGTAATATAATTGTTTTTGTTAGTTGTAGGATAAAGAAAGTCATAAATAAATAAAGTACGCGATACAAAAGAATGTGGAGCTTATGATTCACTGAGTGTACGCCAATCATAATTGTAAAGCTTCTATGTCGTGAGAGCTTCCGTCTCATAGATACATCGATAAACTGATATTATCCAATTCAATAACACACATCTATGTTTATTAAAACTGTTTATACTTAGGTATTACTTTAGATTTTTCTTACACCTAAACCACTTATAAAATAATATAGGCAATAACCTCAAACTCAAATAAATAATCGTTACGACTTACAAACAAAAAAACATACCAAATAGTACTCTATTTAAATAGAACAGCCCTAGATAATAAACAAAACTGTTTGCCCCAAATAAAGCGTTTAGAGATAATGAGGAGAAAAGGATTAATAACTGGCATCACCGTCAATGATAGCAACCCCGTAATAGACCGCCTTCAATGGGATGACAAAATTAAGAAAAAAAGGAAGAAGCCAAAAGGATTAACCGCGCGGCGCACCCCAGGCGCCGTGAATGTTGCTATTACAAAAAATTATGATCTAAAAAAAAGTGTAAAAGGCCCACAGAATAGACATAACTTATATTTGAATTAATGATGGCATTGTGTGCTTTCGTTGTAATTTTTATTTACGATTGTTTACCCTATTTTATGTTTTAATATGTTACTAAATTTATAGCCTTAGATTTTTGTATAGGAATTTCGTTTTCTAAGGGTTGTTTTTATTTATGGCAACTAGAAAAGAACCTTTAATGAGACCAGTTAGAAATATTCTTTGTTAAGTGACAAATGTTGTTCTTTATTCACAATAGAGTGTTATTTAATGGTCAATAAAAATTAGATTCTGAAATACTTCGATGTTTATCACAATGGAATAGAACGTCAACGTCAACTTGATTATTTGCCTTGTTACTTTGGATTACTTTTGGTAGCGCTCACAACTTAATGCACGAATTGCAGCTGACACCAATTACTCAAAAAGCACCACAATGTAAAGTCCCTTTAGTTGAATGTGAGACAAATATTTCTATGTCTCTTTCACTGACATCATCTAAGCAGATCTTGTACAAAACAAGCAGTACCTACATCAGACTAATGCGTAACGCGTGTATAGACAAGACATAACGAACTTAACATTGGTGTAGCCTGTGTAGTAGATATAACCTCACTAAGTTATCAAATATCTTATACATTGTTCCAAAATACCCAATATATATATTGACATAAAATTTGATACCTCACAGGATTTTTCTATTTTATTACAATTTTATTGTCAAAGAATACATTTTTGGAGATGCCGCGTTCCTTAAGATGAGAAGATTAAAGATTGTTATAAATTTATTAATGATTAATAATGATATCTACTATTGGGGTATTAAGTGTGAGATCGGAGATAACAGGATTGATTATTGTGGTACAGATTTTTGTTTTTAAATTAAAGAAGTAGATATATATTTAACTCTAATAGCTTCGGGTTTATTAACATTGAAAACAAGATGATACAGTGGCTTACGTTTACAGTTATTAAAAACTAGCCTAGGTCTGTGGTCATAATCGCAAGTTGATACGTATAGAAGCTAAGAGTTATAATTTATTATGATTAATTTAATTAGTTAAATTAAGTAACGGTCCAGATCAGTAGTAGTAGTTAAGTTAGTTCTCCAGTTGTACTTCTTCCTGCGTGGTAAAGGATATTTTTATTAAAATACATTTAATGGATTTGGGACATTGATAAAGTGTTAAATATTTATCCGAATCTAGCGATATAACATGTTTTACACAAATATAGTGTATATTCTAAAAAAAATATTTTACAAGGAAGTCGGTAAAAACCATAGTCTACAGTGGGCATAGATAACATTTTAAGGATTATTCACACTCCCACGTAACCCGTGTTCCCGCCAAGAACATTATATTCACGTTTTAAATTCCCATAAACCTGATGCAATGACACCATATCGGATCGTAAACTTTTATCTCTTCATTTCCTTTTATTTTACACCTTTTGTTCTAACACGTTATTATAAAAAATATTCTGGTCCCTTCAATATCAATAGCACTACTTGACCGACGTATAACGTTAAAGATAATGCGGTCGTAAACTTTTTACAATCTGTGAAATCAGAAAATATTTGATCTGTGACATTTTTTGTCTATGTCTAGAGATATTTATTTACAGCACACAATATTTCCCGCCATTTCTACTTTCGAAACGTCTGTTTTCATATTTTATTTAAAGTTTGAAAAGATTTCATAAGAAAAATATTTTATACATAACATTACCCTCAAAGTCAGTTTTATAGACTTACAAGATACTTATGAAATTCAGTGTAAAGATGCTTGATTTTCAATGTGAGCGTTATATTTGCACATTGTTCTTCTGAGGAATAAAATACACATAGGATCGTAAACCTCCTCCTTCGGGGTTTTTTAATGTGGGTTAAACATAAGAATTTAGTTTAAAATAATGACTACTTGACCTTTTCTGACATATCTAAACAGCTATACTAATAATTAAGTTATTAACCAATTTGCGAAGAACTGTTGTTGTGTGTTTAGTATGAAAAGGTCAATGCTAGTTTATTTATTCGCAAATGGGAACTGTGTTATATTAATTATAATTTTGATTAGAACTTATTTTGTACAAACTTAAACTATTCCTCATTTTTAAAGTAATTGTTTTAAATAACACATCAATTCAGTAGAGCTATATTAGTATTAGCAAAGTTACCTTTAAATGTTTTTATTCAGATAGAAATACTTTCCATTTTATAAAGTCTGAAACGGGACATATAATATAAAAGCTAAGATTTATTTTATAAATAATTAAACTAAATAAGGCTGTTTAAATGTTTTAATTATAAATCGAAAATAATATTAGATGCATAATGTTGTATAGAAACCTACCGATTTCATATTTAAATCAGTAGGATTCGAAGATGAAACTTAAGATTTGATAAATCACTCGTTTTGCAATTCAAAGCGAATGAATAATTCAGGGTTCCAAGTTAGACCTCCTTGAGACGAACAAAAAAGTAACCTATCATTAAAATTTAAAACATGATTATTGGTTAAGTAAATTAGTATTATTACGTGCACTAGGCATATATTACCTAGGTCTCGTAATTACTAGGTTTTATTTTTGCTAGTTTATGATGTTATCAAGGGTGATTTATTATTTGTATATTTAATAAATTATATGATACATTGCCTTTTGCAAAAAGTATATGTTATGGCATTTTCTTTTTATTTGTACTTGGTGTAGGTATTAACGAGGTTTTTGCTATATCCAAACATTTATTATAATATATTTTTATACCGTTAAGCTGAGTTCCTACGGCACAGTTATTCTGGCAATATCCAAGGAGGTTCTGGAAGAAAAGTTCGAAAGACTCGACCTATAATTATGACAGTGTACCGAGCTAAAAGGCTCCCAAGTGTCACTGGCAATATTCCTAGTTAGCTGTTATGTATATCTGGAAACACAAATATATAACGATGGCTGGAATTGGTACGGCTAAAGATTTTTAGGCGACACGTTAATCAACATTTGGAAACAAAGAAGAATTGGCATCAAAACCAAAATCAAATTGATACGGACTCTAGTATTCCCTGTCTCCCTGTATGAAGTACTATCTTGGCTCGAGAAAGGCAAAGGATTGATACTTTTTAGATGTGGTGCTGGAGCCTGGAGGCGCATCCTATGAATACTCTACACTGCAAAGCCCACCAATACATTAATCTTGGCCGAACTTCCCATAAAGACTCGCGTTTCTTCTTCCATCTACTTCTATATAATGCGCGAGGCGATGAGAAACTATGAAAAGTGGTTGGCAATCGCACCGCCGTTCACCAACCAAGCGGCCCGATCAAGTGAAAGACTCATCGCCCTCAAAACTACACCGCAATAAGAGAGGCGCTGGAAAGAAACCGACGGAGACTGAATTGTGCCCAATATGACATGACAGAAATAAAATATTGCTCTTATATATTAATTCTACGTTTTCCTAAGTTTTTCAAGGCAACAAAATGGAAAATGAATATTTATAATAAATAATTCTAAACAAGCTCTGTATTGCACACTTTCTTCGTTCTAGAAACTACAAATTAATTTGTTCATAATAACTACAAGTAGACATGTGGGGCAGTATTTTTACGCGTAACACCGAGGCGTAAATCTGTCTCAACTAGAGAAGCGTAATTGACGTATTTATTACGGGATAAATAACTCCCGATGCAGTTAAATTAGTGCTGCTTGGTTTAAGTAAAATTCACTTGACATGAACTATGGCTTTATATAGCATTTGTGACTATATTAGCTGTTCGCTGCGTATTACCAGAACATTCATGTTCTAACCATTACGATTCATATATAATTTATGCAGTAATTTCTAAAGATCTATATAATATTACATTTTTATATTAATTTATAAACGGAATTTTTTATATAATATATTACATACATCGATGATATTTATATTCTGATAAAGTTCCTTTACGTTATTCATGGTACCCTTTACTTTATATATTCTCTTGCCTAATTAGTTTTTTTTAATTCTCTTATAACCCGACTAGTCTAGAAGACGTTACAAGCGATAAGTCCGCCTTTTGCTCTTGGCCTTATATAACAATCTCTGTAAACGTTACACTTAACAAATTCTCTACAAAAAAAATCGACAGACATTAGAGAAACTGACAAGTTACGTAAAAAACTTAAAATGGCGCGCTAACCCTTACAGTGTGACCCAAAAATTCATTTCTTGGAAGCGGCGGAAACAAAGATGGATGGTCTCTAATTTCCAGGTAAACACTTTTGTCGACAAGGTCACTCTTATTTCCTACATATTTGCAAGTTCAGTCTGTCGTCTGTGAATCTAGTGTTAATTTATTACTTGCCGGAACTTTAGCTAGGGCTGTGCCAAAGGCATAGCTTTGGCAAAGTGCTATATACGATACCGGGGTCAGTTTTGTGCTAATTTATTTTGTCTGAAATTGATTAGAATCTATTTGACTTTGTCACTTCAATTATAAAAAATAGGGGTTGATCGTAGAGAGGTGAAAATTAAGGGTTGTATGTATTTTTGTATGTTGTATCATAAAAAAAATAAAAACAAAAAACATTGTGTAAAAAACAATATTTTTTTTAAGGACACCCCTTATCACTTAAGGGTGTGAAAGATAGATAGTAGCCGATTCTCAGACTTACTGAATATGCATAAAAATTTCATAAGAATCGGTCAAGCAGTTTCGGAGGAGTATGGGAACAAACATTGTGACACGAGAATATTATATATATAAGATTATATTATATTAAGGAGGACTTCGTATTAATTTTCGATGTAACCCTTTTAGAGTGTGGAATAGTCAAGGAAATTATAATTATTAACTGTTTTGTTTAATTCTATTAACAAAGTTCCGAAATGATTATTTAGTATAATAATATTAACCGTTGCGTGAAATTGGTACGTCACACCTTTAAAACAATTTTTCAATGATTTTTGACAGCCCTCAGAGCCTCCGAAGTGATAAAAAATGTATTGGGTTTTTATAGACTTGAGACTTCTAAGATGATTATCGTTTTCTAGATTTATAAGTTTTCTCATGAGAATTCGTCTGACCTTTGCTAATTTTAATTTGCTTTGTTTTTGGTTAACATTTAATTTTTAGATTTAGAAAAAGAAAAAATAGAAAAAATACATATTTTTTTTAAAACTGGTAGAAACACGTTCCATACAGTTATGTAAATCTCTATTAAGCATAAAAATACATACGGCTAAACCTTTAAACCTAAAGAAAACTCCTTTTATACATAAAATACTGTATTATTTTTGTTTCATTTAAGCCTTTAAAGCGTATTCGTTTAATTTGTCAAACGTATGGTAAGGCTATAGTGACGTATCTATGTATCGTGTAATCAATTTAAGAAAGGAGATCTAAAACCAAAAAGTTTTAATTAATATTGACCCGAAAAAGGAATATATGAATACATGAATATACCCGATAGATATTTTATTAACTATAGTACATAAAGTCCCCTAGTTAAATTTTACGATCGTCCTTTTGACACATGACAAGATTGGCCGTGTACACAAAGTAGACTCCTAATTTGAAATCCTCTTCGATTCGTTCGCAGTCGTCAATCGATTTCATAGATAACCCGATGTAGTGATGCCCTATTGTCCTTTTATCGATAATCGCAAACGCTTGACCCGAAGGTTGTCGGGATTTATCGTTTATAAAATGAATGTAAACAGGAACGAGGAGCATTTGCATATTAGAATATGTCTGAAAATATATGTAACTTGCTGGAATTGTGGGAATTTGAATTACGTAGATGGTCGTTGGTCTCCGCTCGTAACTGTGAAAGTGCAAGCATATTTTATGACATAGCTCATTTGGTCCTTTATGTAAATATTATACTAAAGTTACATACATACTTATATCAAATTGGTAATAATTTGATGAAAGTCATTTCCAATTTATAATTTAGTAGAAAATGTTTGTTTATCCGGAAAACCTTTTTAATATTAAAAATCAAAGATAATCTTATCTGTCTCTTGCTTCACATAGTCGTTCTTTCACAGTCACCCGTTCATTGCACCACGTAATTAGAATACCTTATCTCATATTTGTAATTAACTGCAAAATAAACTTTGTAGTCCAATTAGTTTATCGATAATCGATATCTAATCGGCACATCACTATTATTCACACCGTTCATTTTATTAACTAATTTTCCAAAGTCCAAGCTATTATACAAAGTGCATTATAATAGTTCAGTGATAACGGGTATTTTAGACCCGAGTTCAGAGACGTTTAAACGCTCCATTTTACTCTCTCGCTAGCGAAACTGGAGTTTAAAAGTCGGTGGACATATGTCTTGAAGTGATCATTTAAAGAAGCCGCATATGTATGGCTAATGACTTAATTAGCCCGGTATTTAAACGACTTTCTGTTATGTTTCTATTAAATTAGCTGCGCCAGTATGTGCTTCTGGATGAATGATCAATTACAACAAAGAAATAGTGTACTTTCTTAACGATATTTCAATATTTATTTATTTTTTTACGAGAATTCCTCAATAAATAGAAATTTATTGAGGAATTCTCGTTACACTTACTTAGTTTCTTTTAAATCTTTTTCACCTAATTTCAATACTAATACCTTTATTTTCACAGATACAAAAATAATAGTCAGTCATTAATTTCCAATGCTTAGATTGTCTTTGCTTTTATTTTGTGTTTGTTGCGCATCTGTTACAAAACTACTTTTACTAAATCATTTAGCCAAAATGCGCCAAATCCACAAAGACATTGGTAATTTTGGGATCGGGATCAAGTCATTCCCAAATTACAAATATATTACCATTAATTGTATAATATATATAAAATATAAATTAGAATTTTAGTAATCCTTAATTATTGCATAACAAATTCAATCAAAATAATTATACATCAAATTAGCATTTCCTCCAACAATCGGTTTCATAAGTATTTTCTCGTATTAAAACGTGATCATTTTACGTACCGCCTTGTCTTCACAGGTAATAAATATTTCTGTGTTATAAATTGAGTCTGTATATGGATTAAGCTGACCTCTGGTGTGGCAAAACTATTGCTAATTTGCCCGACGGGAACACTACAGGAGGTCTGCATTTTCTACAGATGCTTTGAACATGAAATCTGTTATAACAAGTAACTAGTTCAACCAGACATATTTAGAAAGATAGATATTTGGTTCGTGATTTAAAATATTGTTTCCTTTAAGCATTCCGTCATTTGTCTTATCCATTATTATAATCTTTTCAGTTCCCTTTTAAGGTGTTGCTAGTAATTCAAAAGACTTCCTATAAACAAATTGCCAATACAATAAATCAGTGCAGTAATATTAAACCGGCGACCGATAGTAATATATCATGGAATATTGAATACAGCGCATTTGAAACTAATGCGGACTTGTGGCACAATTTAAGATACATTAGTAGAGCTTGCGGCGATTCGCTTATACATATTTATGAATTTATATAGACGCACGATACTTCGTGTACCATTCCATTTATTACTTAGCGAAGGTGAAGTTCAACTACGAATAATCTTTGACACCATTGAACAGGTGAAAATCATTTAACCTTCACTTCATGATCATGTAAATAATAAATACAAAATTTATGTTGAAAATCCTACAATAATAGTAACCTATTAAACAGTGTATCTTGCGCCTTTAGAAGGATGTTCACATGGACCAATTTCCAGACATCTGTTGAGAATACGCCACAATAATATGTGTATGCCAACTAGTCGACAGCTTTATAGATCCAAGTTTAGCTAGAGATAATAGGAACTCTTTGATCATTCTGCCCTAATAGCTGGTAGCTTTCGCTCGTTATAAATTTTAAACCGAACGCTAACATAATTGGCGTCGTTAACATGTGATTAGATTTTATTGTATTTGTTTCATTGCTTGTAATTGGAATAGCGGATGAGCTTATTACATTCGTATGCGATCCGTTTATTGATAAATCGCCTCCATTAAGCTAGGGATTTGCTGCCTTTAACCATATAGATTCAGGTGGTGCGCCATAGCGTCCCTTATGTATATTTAATATTTGAAGCATTTATTAAAATTTACGTTTTCAGTCATATTCTAAAAATAAAAATATAATAACTTTTTATGAAAAAATACGTTTTAATTAGATATTAATACTTTATCTCTTTTGTTTCAGAAGGATCTCTCGGACGATTGCGTGTTCGAGGAACATATAGAGGAGAATAACTACAACACGTATTCGAGGATACGTGCCGGTAAGAAGACGTTCCTGGCGCTAGACAACCGGGGGAAGGCGCGCCGAACGCAGATACCAGTGAGCAGACCTCTGGGCAACCTCTCCGGATATGCCCTCACGCTCACTAAGCGCTGGGAGGGACCCAAACACTCCCAGTGCCCTCCCCGACGGCACCGCGGCAAACTGAAACGACCGCCGCCTTTTCACAGGAACTGCCAGCGCCGCGTCGCGAAACAAAACATGCGGAAACGGAAGCACAAAAAAGCGAACGACCCGAAAAAAAAACGGCATCCGAAAGCGCGGAGAAAACACGACAGCACGACGAGCACGACGGAGATGAGCTGGGACGAATCGACGATGTCCACTATGTCGACGACTGATGAGTTTTTTCGGTCGGCGACCGGTCGCGCGTGAGCCGGTCGCTGGTCGCCGTGGGAGCCGCCGTGGCGCTCGCACACTAGCACCGTTCCACTTACGCTAGAATCTCTAACCATCGCCGGTTAGGCAGGTGCTCTGAACCCATAATGAATGTCACCTTAAGTTAAGGCCGGTCCATTTGGTAGATCCTTTGCACCTGCTGCGCTATTTATTTGTCCTTGTAAGCTCCTAAACTGCTGTGAAAGTGTATTCGTGTTCAAATTATAAATTAGAAATATATGAAAATCTAACAAAGGTGTATACTTTATAGCCAATTTTTAGTTGACCAATACTGTAACCTTGCCACGCTCTTATCATTCCCATTCAAAGCCGTTCTTAAGGAATGGCACTTGAAGACTTCGGCGTAAACGATCGTGGCAAAAGTCATTATTATCTTGCTAAGCAAGTGGATCACGATTACAAAATTCAGCCTTTCCCAGATCGAAATTACTTTAAAAACATCTTATTCACTTAATAAATCACGTAAGTAATAAAATATTCATAATCAAATTAATTTTGTAAGATACAGATAATCATCACACAGCTTTTCATTGGGTTTTATTTATAAAGTTACATATATCCGTTAATTGTTAATATTTGTTCTTTTCAAAATACTCAATTATCGACGTAATGATATTATTCTACCAAAGCTACTGAAATTATCTATCTCAATTATATTCCTAGTACGCTTTAACGTAGTTATAACGGATTCCAATTGTCTTAGTTATCATGAAATTATCTTAGTCGATAACTTATGATTAATATCGAATGTAAATGAGCCGAGATTTGTTTGTGGAACTGTGCTAGGTGGAGGGAAGATCCTTATTCGCTGCAAATGACTCGCCACAGACTACATCAGTAAGGACAGTCTTAAATAACGAGCCAAAAAGACTTTTGTAACACGTCTGTGCTGTAATTATAGCAACGCGTTCATTCGGAGTGTCCATACTGTTAGTAGATCAACAACATCCGCACCCCCACAGATCTATTTTAACCTTTGGACCGAATCACGCGTCTGTTTATTATTCGTATATCAACCGAGTCGATTTCCTATTTAATTAACTCTTAGTGATCCGTTAATGGATGCAATGCGGCCCATTGCATTCCGTTATACAAACTTATCACTTCCCAAAAACATGTTCCGCATCTCGAATATTTTCACGTTTATTCATAAATAAATTTAGTTTATTTGTAGCGAATATGGTTCGGTAAAGGTTTATTGTACTTAGACGGATATGTTTGGTGTATTTTCATAAGGAATTGACTGAAAATATATGACTGAGTAATGTAGGAACCGTCGGTTTTGGTATAGGCTATGATAGTGTAAAGTGCGGCGGCGGCGGCCTGCTTCTGTTATTTGTAAGTTAGGACTTGATACGAGCGATTTTGCATAAGTGTTGCCAGTAAAAGATACATCACATCCTTTAGTATGCTCTTCGCTTAGTCTATGAAATTAAAATTGCATTTCGCGCGCAAATTCGTTCGCATCAACCAACCGAATAAGTAGTTATAAAATTTAACGGCGATGAAGTGACTATTAGTAGTTAGGTATGTCGTGTATGTAATTTGTAAATTATTTATTTTATTTTCCATAGAGAAAGTCGTATTTTGTTAACGTTTTAGTTGATGTTTTAATTCTTGACCCGTTAGTACCATCCGGTGTAGACCTTAGGATGACATACGCTTGTAAAGTTAGTGAGCCATTATGTGTATTATATTTATATTCTGTAGCAATTTTTTTTATTGTTTGTATGAATGAATATTGTAAATGAATAGATATTACACGAATACATTCTGTATAAATCCCTCGCAAACGGTGTATGAATTGTGCTTAGAATAAAGAAATCTTAATATTCGTTAGCGGACAAAAAATTATAAATAAGCTCTAAAGTAAGTAAAAAATAATTTATTAATGTATACAGCATCTCACTATTTCGGTCAAAATGATAATTAATTACCTCGTTGCAAACAGGAACCATTTGCAACAACATTCAACATGTAATCAATATTCATAACAAAACAAAAGCAATAATAAGAAATGATTAGTATCAAGCATTTTATGTAAAACAATTGTTGCGAACAAATATTAATAGTCCGCTAATGAAATATTCAAGAGTTATGAATATTCATTGTAAAGCTTTATGATTGTACCTACGTATGCGAGATGAATCAAGTTATTTATTATGTCCGTTGTTATGTCAATGAAAACGACGTATTGTACTATGTAAATAAAGCATTTAACCGTATTTTGTTAGAGCCTGTAATTTTTCAGAATTTACATAAAACCTCTTTTTGACACATAGACAATTCGGGGTTTATATCTATGTCTGCGACAATTATAAAATTTAAAATTGGAATACTGTGTAATATTAAAGGCTCTAATATTTTCACTTGATTTTAATGAATTTGCTTTTGTAAATATTATAAATTTATTATCCTAGAATCAGTATTGGAGCATAGTGAAAATATGGTTATGCATTTCATTATGTAGATTTTAGTATAAATAACATTTTTTCTTTGTTTTTTTAAATCATTTAATTATTTTAAAGCCTACCTCTGATATGATACACACTTTCTCGATGAACAATGAGGTTTATAGACAAAAGCTCGATATTATAAACATGAATAAACTACATAAAATAAAGCTTCAAGTCAATTTTTTTATGTTCTAGTGCACATTATACAACATTATAATCGAAGAATTTGTGACTTGTATTTGCCGTACTTTATAAAATTAATGGTAATGCTTAGGCAAAATGTTATCTGTAATACCAACGTTAGAGGAGCCTTTAGACTGTGGTCGAAACTGTTTTAAAATTGTGTAGTCATGCGGCCCATGCATCTTTATGTATGCATTCCGTGTATAAACATTCTCGGGGGATAAGTTGGCCTTAATTATTTTAAAAAAGTTTTATAGTTTTTGCTAAACCACCTCGCAATATCTGACCAAGTTATGTATAGCTATGAAGTTTTATCGTACACGTTCATTTTATCAGTGTAAAATACATTTTTTTATTTTATTAATTACACTCATGTGCCATATCCTACTTTTAATAGAATTACCTGTCAAAATACTTAGTAATACATATTTGACTGTAACTTAGCTACTTCGATGTAAAGGATTTAAGAAATGATTGGAGTTAGAAAAACTGAAACTTATTTGGAATGAAAATATTAAAATAATCTCAATATTTAGGAGTCGTAACACATAAATAGATTAAAATATTAACCATTTATTACTTTGGAAACTTTTCTACGTATTAATGAATTTTTAAGGATACGTACCAAAAGAACAATATTCATATTAGACATCGTAGTTTTTATTACCCTTCTTTTAACAAATCTATAAGAATAAATCATTGTATCGAAAACTAAGCTGTACCCACCAAATTAATGGCTCCTAAGTCTTTTTGTCTTATTATGAGACAAAATGGAATACTTGGGTCAAACAGTATTACTTCTACCTTTACATTTCTACAATATAGCTGTATTCGTGATAATACATGTACAAATCGAATAAAACAATTATGCGTCCCTTCTTGACGTGATTGTGTACAGTAAAAGAAATTTTGTTTTATCGAAATAAGACGGTTATAAAATGTGTAGCTTAAGATTCAAAACGAACTAAGGCCGATGGTGTGACATAATGGATTCGGATTAAAGTTGTAAATTAATCACAATATAGCGTAGATTTACCAAAAGGATAAACGAAACTTTTAGACAATAACTTTTGCAGCCTCTTATACCGAAATATAAAATAAAATGATTCTTTGAATATAACTGTTTGGTGTTTTATTTTATCCTATAGTTAGTTACACTTATTTAATATTATTTACCTAAAGACAGCACTCGGCAGATATTTTATGCGCCATCGCTATATGTATTTATATTTATTAAAAAAAAATACCTGTGTCAGGGTTACAGGGTTAGGTATTTTTTTACTTAAAAAAGTTCCCAAATGTATAATGCTAATAACTACTTATAACGAATAAACACATTTTTTTAATTTATTCTATTCGCAATATTTATGAAAAATAAAGCATTCTTGAAAGTAATCTTTATATAACATGACTTTAAAAAGAGTTATGGAGTAAAATAACTAATATACCTACTTACTATTAATTTAACAAAATGTGCTTTATTAAAAATATTGATTTTAAGACGAATTAGTAGAATCGACGTTGTAGCGTACTCGTAAATATGTCTAGTTAAAATAGTTTTTAAAATATTGTCAAATAGCCTAACAATTTCTGGAATTAATTATTTGCTGGTATACGGCAATTATCGATATGACAAAGCAAACAGCCATCTTACTACAATAATGAATTTCATTATTCACTAAATAATATAGGTCGGTTATCGAAAGCTGGCGCGTTCACAGTACTCACACTAATGCAATTTCACATACAGTATGTTTAAAAATATGACTTTTTTGCCAAGCTATATATTTTAGTTTACTCTAGTTTTAGTAAGGTTGGGTGGGTTGTAAATAAATAAAAATGTGTCAAATACATATAAATATTATGTGCATACGAGGGTGGATCCAAAAGTTCTAAGCCCGACCAAGAACGTAAAAGAGTAGTTTGTGTAAATAATTTTTCATTTTTCGACATTAGCTCCATCTAGCTCAACACACTTCACTTTTACTTCACTAACAATTCTTTCAATACTACAAATAATTTTTTTTCATTTAACTGTTTTTATTAAGATGCAATAATTAAAAACATTGTGCACCATTTCACGAGATTGTCCTGCTAATGTTTAGATGGAATATATTTCATAAGACATTTTTTTCAAAGTATTCTAACTTCAACCAAATAAGTAAACAATCACAGACAAAATAATAATGAGAAAAAAGATCAACATGTACAGTAAAGATCAACATAAACAGTAGCAAAAGCAAAACAATAACTGTCTCTTTTATACTCATAAGCTTGAGCGAGCGCGAGAGAGACGGACAGTCTTTTCATGCTGTATTTGTGATTGTATTTCAGTTTGACATAACGCCTCGCGCTTATTCACAGACACTACACAAGCACAAAGTGTAAATGTGTTGAAGCCGCCAGCTTTAAATAACATACCAATAGTTTTCTAACAATTGCTACTGCCTAAGAAATAATCCTTATAAGGGTTATCTACCATTATCTAACGACAAAACTCATTTTCCATGGACCTGTAGAACATCTAAAGCACGATAACTTGGTAGTAGGTACATGGCATGAAAACTTAGTAGGTACCTATTAATGTCTGCGTGTTGTTACAGGAGGCAAACGAGCAGGAGGCTCACCTGATGTTAAGTGATACGGCCGCCCATGGACACTCACACTGCCAGAAGGCTTGAAAGCGCGCTGCCAAAGATTTAGCAACCCGAAAATTAGGGATGCATCCGATACCGATCCTGACACCGATACATCGGCGATACTTTGGGTTTGCCGATATATCGGCATCGGCGAAAATATTATTTATTAATTTCCGATACAGCGATTCTTTTCAAATTTCTAATTTTCAATGTTAAAATTTCCACATTTGATAATTCCAAAGCAAAAAAACAAAATATGTTTTGTTTTCCATATTATATGGCTTTTAAATGAGTTCTGGCGCATTTGAGAGATTATTTTCCACTCCAGGACTTTATACAGACAGACTTGTAAAATCGATTTCTCCCCATGCGAGTGCTCTGTTTTTTAAACCAAATTCTTATCAATGTTAATTATAATTATTTATTTACCAGAAGAAATAAGACATGCTAGATGCCTTCATTTTGCAGACGATCTAAAATTACTCCTATCGGCTTCAGGACGTACACACTGAATGTCAGCGCCACGATCGCCTACCAACGGAACATTATATACTGTTCAAAACAATTAGCGGAACAAGATTTTTCTCCTTTCTATTGCTTAAACTAAAATTAGATTTAAATTAACTTGTACGCTATTTTTTACCTTGTTAATTTGTTAATTACTACAATTAATAAAAAAAATCAATTTGTATTTTTTTTAATAAAAAAAAAATTAAAATGTGCATTGTAGACGAAAAACTAATTGGTGATAAAAAAGGTCCATCAAAGAAATATGCTTATATCGTTTGAATATTCGTCTTTAGTGACTTTCAGTAACGTGTGTGGCCTCCATGAGCCCTAATCACGGCTTGACAACGACGCGGCATGCTTCGTATGATCCTCCGAATATCTTCTTGTGGAATTCGCTCCCATTCTTCAATCAACGCTTCAGTGAGCTGCTGCAGTGTTTGAGGTGCAATCGGACGCTTCCGGATGCGCCTGTCAAGCAAGTCCCAAATGTGTTCAATTGGATTTAGGTCAGGGCTCATGGAAGGCCACTCCATTACACGGATTTCCTGCTGTCGTAAGTAATCTGACGTGATGCATTAAAAGAAAATTTGGGCCCATACCATATGCTGCGGGCCAAACATGATCTTCGAGCACATTTTCAATGTAAGTTTGAGCACACAAGCGCCCGGGAACAACGACGAGATCTGTGCGCTCGTCTAAACTAACTCCGCCCCAAACCATCACAGAGCCACATCCAAATTTGTCATATTCCTGGACTGCTGCTGCACTGTATCGCTCGCCTGGGCGTCTGTAAACACGGAGACGACCATCGCAACGTGTTAGACGGAATCGTGATTCGTCAGTAAAAATCACTGGCCTCCAATGTCGAAGTTGCCAATTAGCGTGATTTTGCGCGAACTGTCGGCGAGCTTGTCTATGTTGAATTGGTAGACGCACAGCCCGAACTGGTCGGCGTGATCTCAAATTGGCTTCCAACAACCTATTTCTTACCGTCTGGTCGGAAATTTCTACACCAGTAGCCGTCCTTAGTGTATTTTGTAGATCTCTTGCAGTTGTGGTGCGGTTACGTAAAGCACAGTTGACGATGTAGCGATCTTGCAAACGTGTAATTTTTCTCTTTCGACCTTGACCACGCCTTCGTGAGTATTCTCTCGTCTCACGGTATCGCTTCCAAAGTCTGTAGATAACAGAAGGGCTACTCCTAGATCATTTCCTACATAACGCATAGTTCGACCCTCTTCAAGCAAAGCGATAGCTCGGGAGACATGCAATTCAGTCAGATCTGGCATTATGACCTAAACTCACTCGCTTCAATGAATAACAATACTCAAAAGGCTCACTTCAATTTCTATTAATACTCAAAAGATTGAAAAAAACTACTTAAAATGTGTTTTCTGTGATTAGAAAGTAATGAAAATTCAAAGACGTCACTTTGTTTTTCGTCTACAATGCACATTTTAATTTTTTTTTAATAAATAAAATACAAATTGAATTTTTTTATTAATTGTAGTAATTAACAAATTAACAAGGTAAAAAATAGCGAACAAGTTAATTTAAAACTTATATTAGTTTAAGCAATAGAAAGGAGAAAAATCTTGTTCCGCTAATTGTTTTGAGCAGTATATAAAACGTTTTGTACCTTAAAATAACAAATAACTGCAGCCTTTGTACTTTTGACTTTAAGAATGACAGTTTCTCTTACAGTCTCTTTTTAAGGTGAAGTCGTATTTTGGCTCTAATATAAATTAATATTATAACAATGTTAATACTGTATATTTGTTTGTTACATGAATAAAATTAATTATGTAAAAAAATAACCTATTACGATCAACAAAATAAAAACATGAAAGCAGATAAAGTTGGAAATAGTTTTCAGATCCATTTTCCTATGTATGGAAACGTTTCCTTTTAACGTTGAGCACGATTTAAACAGATTTACGCTCTTAAAATAAGCTCCAATTAAATATTAACAAATGTGCCATGGTGACATTTAGTCGTGCCAAAATCCCTCGTCATCATGAGCAGAATGTGTCGGGGGTGATACTCAAGCGGGAAACGTCAGAAAGAGACTTAGGAGTGCAAGTGGATGCCCAACTGAATTTCCGAAATCATGTAGTGGACATTTGTAAGAAAGCATACGCAAGAATGGGATTTGTGCTTCGAAGGGCAACAACATTCACTAATATTAAATCCATCTCAAGCTTGTTCAACTTCTAGTAAGAAGCATGTTAGAGTGTATGATGGCGTAGTCTTGCTCTTTCGTGAATTTTGTAAACGTTGTTGACATTCATAAGCATGCTCTAAGAAGCATCTAAATTGAATAAACGTATTTTGATTTTGATTTTGATAACTCGTCTGTTTGGGCTTCGCAAGAAGCTAAATACTGCCTTATGTTGGAGCGCATACAGAATAAATTTACACGATACCTCTAAAGCAAACTGTATGGCGTCTATCCCTACTATACTTTAATGTACCCAACATTATTAGTCTTAGGGATGGTGGGGTACAATATATTGGAAACCAGACGGGACTTACAGTTGGCCTACTACGTACTGAAAGTCTTGAGGGGGTGTAGTGTGCAACCCAAGTGTACTCCAAGAACTGGGTTTCTTAGTACCTATGGGATATGTGCGACGGCGAAGGCCTAGGTTATTTGTGATACCAAGGGCAAGAACCAGTCTGTTGCACAGATCCCCGTTATCAAAGATGTTGCGCCTACTGAATGCTGTCTCCGACACTATCGACATATTTATATGTTCGCAGAGTGAATTCACAGTAGCGATATTGTGTATATTATGTGTTTAATATTATATATGTACCTACTTTATTATTTTTATTTAATGTTTCTCGACATTATCGTATTGGCATAGTCTGTAAGGATAATGTATGTATTTCTGTAATAAATAAATAAATAAATTTTATTTTTATTTCATTATTACTCCTAATCCTTAAATTTAACTAACTAAACCTATAATCTTAATCAAATTTTGGGACTGTTTTTTTTTGTAATTAAAATTAAAAACTTTAACCAAACTTAATATATTTTAAGCGTTTGTATCGATATCGGTATCGACGATATTTCTGTAAGAGTATCGGTCGGTATCATATCGGCAAAAAGGCGTATCGATGCATCCTTGCCGAAAATATAGCTTTGCATATTTGTAGATACCATTTACAAATATACAAAGCTATAGCCATGGACCATATTCGATTATTATTATATCCGGATTAAATAATCGTACTGGAAGACTCGTACACGGCCTTTAAAAAAGATCAATTAAACTGAATGATCAATTATTAAATAGACAACTAGTTCAGATTGCCAGCCGCTGGACAGTCAACTCTGTCGTTGGCAAACTGCACTGCAGCCATTTAGTGATACATCATACAAGATTCAAGAGAGGGTGATTACTACGAACTTAATAACACTTAAATAGTATCCCTAACTTTCATACTAACTGAACTAATTGAAATTATCGTGATTCATTATTTACATATTATGTTATAATTGCTTTGTTTTATTCTATTCTTCTTGCGTTCACCTTATTCATTTTTTTTCCTTACTTAATGGGCCGGCTTACCACGATAATTGTAGCCTTGACGAAGTCTCGCTACTTTGTGGGAATACAAGTGAACAAAACAAAGCATCATACGAATATATCACTGCTTGAAAGGGCACAAAGTAAAATTCATGCTCAAACACTAACTATGACTGTAACAGATATTATAAAGAAAAAAGTATAGAAGGAAGTCATATCATAATAGCACACTATTTTTTTAAATCATAAACAAAATACTGGCAACTTTTGCCTTATTCAGTCAAAATATGTTAAAGGTCTAGATACCAGGCCATAAACTCCAAAAAAAAAAAAAAAAAGTCAAAATATGTAACTGTCATGTGCAGATACTCATATATAAAACGTCACTAGTTGACGTTGACGTTCGTGAAGTTATCCGAATCTCGGTTTGTTCATTCGATCGCCGCCATCTTGTAAACTATTGTCATTCGTACGGCTTGTATCGATTCGATACGCAACACGATAATCGGAATCTCCCTAATTCCTTAGGCAGCGAATTGAATGATAATCGGGAATCGAAATTAGAAAATGAGAACACCGTCCGTTGTGTGGCGATTCTTCGATCGTATTGAACAAGATGGACGAGTTGTTGCCATTGTGTGTAAATTATGTGACGCTCGATATAAATATTTCGGTAATACGACTAACTTGCGATGTCATTTGGTAAATAAGCATCCAATTCAATGGGAGCTGGGGCAGAATGTAACTCTGGAGCAAGAATTTCGTGTAGCTGCTGCTACAGATGACGAAACGAATCAATCTACACCCCGACCGCGGCAAAAGAGATATAGGAAATCCGAAAGTAAAGATAACGTACGTTATTCAATTTCAGTAAATAATGATCCCAGTATTCTGGAAGGGAACATGCCCATAATAAAAGTACGCTCACTTTATTTTAATATAGATTATACTTTTGTTATTGTTTACATGTTGTACTTTGATCTATAAATAGTCTTAATAGTTCAAATACTTGGTTCTATATAAAATAAGTCTTTAAGATAAGCAGGCTCATGTGTACATATAGCATAAATTTACTCATAAATAATTTAATTTGCAGGTAGATGTGTTAGAATCAGAGACAGATATTGCACATGATGATGATACTCAAGCAACTATAAATCTAGTTAAACAGTTGCATAGGGGTTCCAATGAAGAATGGCTTAATGATGATGCTTTTGATTCAGTCACTGAGACCTATACAAAACCACAAAAAAAGAGAAAGATATATAGAAAAATTAAACAAGAAGTTATTTCTCCCCCACCTACCACATTTGAACCTAAAAAACAAATTATTATACAGAATAATAGAAGAGATGAGTATCACGCTTTTGGTGAATATGTTAGTAATAAATTAAGGAAATTCGATAATAATCAGACAAGATCTAACATTCAACAACTAATAACAACAATATTATGGCAAGCGGAATATGGAGTATATGATAATATGGACACAGTCAAAAGGATTTTATTACATTCAATGCAAGATATGGGGTCTCCAACTCAAGAGGGGGAGACTCTACATATTAGTAATCAAGAGCTTGAGAACTTGAATGAAAATGTTGCTGTAGACCCAGTTACAGAGTAACGCAAAGACCCAAAGACATTAGACTATAATGTTACATTAGTTTTAAAGGCAAATGAATTGTAAAAATAAAATTATGTTATTTAAAAGTTTATTAATTGCTCTACAAAAAATTTAAGGACCCTATGCCTGACTTCCGAGAATGGATCTTGAGTAACTTAACTAGGTACCTACTTAAGGTGAAGTTAGTGAACACTAATTCCCCCCAGCATGGCCATGAACTTGATTGTTTCACTAATCCTTGATTAGTAAATCTTTTAAGTAGAATTCCATTATGTTCATAAATCCAACCAAGCTACTTTTGCCAATATGCTATGCTATCTACTTCGACAGCGAATTTAGCTTTGGCTAAATCCTGGATTATTTTATTGCAGATCTTAGATTGTAAAATTTTCATAACTGTCAAAACTCATATGTCAATGTCATTAAACAAATTTAAAATCTAATCATGGCGAGTTTTTCTCGTATATCGCGAAAATTACTTAAAAGCACAAATTTCTCAACATTTCTTACTCGTAATAATAGTTTTGTGAAACAGAATAATTACAAAAATGTGTGGACCGCGTGTGCTTGTGTTATCAGTGGTGGTGTTCTGTTATATGCTGCTAAAAATAGGTATGGACGACACACAGTTTACGCGCTCAAAGCTAAGGTATAATATTTTGTTTTAATTTTTATGTGCTAGCCTTTCATTTATGCATAAAATTGACGGAAGGTTACGTTAACACGGAATTTCTGTAAAAACTGTTTAATAATCAATACAATCTTAGCATTAATAATCTAAATTTTAGTGACTTGTAAGGCAGAATATATATTTAAAACATTTTGAAAAAATAAAATTAATTTAGTTTTGGGTACTTTCTATCTCATCTTTATTAAATAAAATTTTATTGAACTTATTAAATGAGACATCTGTGTAAGTAAACGAATTAAAATTAAAATTGTTTCTCCATTCTTATAGTATAAACTTAAAATACCTGATGACAATAATGTTTAATTTATAATAATATAAGAAAATGTTTATATTGGAAAGTTAAAGTAAACTTACATAATTAGGTAATGTATATATATATTTATTAAATATATATTATTTACTATTTATTTTTATAATTTTGGTTCTATGTAAGTAGCAAGAAGAATGTAAAAACTAGTGAAACTTAACCTTAAACCATCCTTCTGATATAAATCGTCCTGCCCCAGAGGGGCATGCATTATTTATCCTAGTATACTATTAAGCAAATGATAGATTTTTAAATGAAATTGCTTATCAATATTGCTTGTCATATTGTTACCGGATATTATGTCAATAATATAAAAGCAATATATTGATGCCGTAATATAATTTGTTTAGTTATATTTAGGTTAAAATTACCTAAGACATGTATTTGATGTTAAGAAAACTATATAAGAGAAATATTAGCATTGATAACATGTATAGCCGTAACAAGTACTCTGGTGCATATTACACTAATATGGTTAATTGTAAGATTGTATTTGTAAACCATTTTCTTTTTCTTAACCTTGCTTATAAATTGAGATTCTTTCAATATTTTAGTATTGATTTTGGCTAGATGTGGCATGTCTAAGGTAAGCAATTATTATCTTTGGCAATTGAATATTAAGGTAAAGAATATTAGTTATATTACTCTTAGGTCATTATTATAAAGATTCATTACCTCTGCAGCTTAATGTAAATTCCACATTAAATATTAATATATCTATAAATATCAATTAAATATTCGCTATTGGTTAAATTTTGGTTTTCTGCAAAACAATTTGGTAATGATAACACAGCAGACTACATTAAATAAAGTATCTGGTCTTTAAGTTATTAAATGGTAAGGGTATATATGAAAAGGGGTACTTATTAGTCTCTCAAATCTTAGCTTAGCTATTAATTGAAGAATAAATGTTGATGGACAGTGGGTATTAGATTATATTACTGAGAACTCTAGAATATATCTCATAGATTAAAGAAAAATAGTATATATATAGTAACCAATTTAAATTTAAAAGACATAATTAATAAAAAATTTGCTTATTTTATCTAACCTTTAGGTCAATTATCAATGAAACAGTTGCAAAGATTTGTCCGCCCTACCATATTGTACAGGTTGTTTATAGAGCATAGAAGTGATAAGTATTCAAATCACTTAAGGCTCTGTAACTTGCATTGTTTAAAAAAACTTCCCACATTTTTAATTTTAATGCACCAAATATTCCTTTTTTAAAGTCATGTGGCATAGACAACCACCCGCGTCGTTACGTAGTGTCGACTCCTATGATAAAAATTCACCGACGTAAAAACTAATGTATAACGATTAATTTCAACAGGACATCGATGTGAATCGTATCAGGTTCACAGATTGTTACGAGCAGTTGGGCAAACGTAATTTATTTTATATTCCAGTATTCCACATAGTGTATGTGCGACGAAAATTTCGTTTAGCCATTATTTTACATTATATGATTAGAACAATGCTATTGAATCGTTAAAATAGTTAATTGAGCCAAAACTTATGACTGTATATAGCAAATCTGTAATGTGTACAGACATGTCATACAGGTTTTATGCTGTACAGAAATTTACTGGCGTTTATTTTGGATCCTACTGTTTCCTCAAATCAGGGGCATTTTAATCTTTTTCTACACGTGTTAAATGGGTAATGAGTCTCCCGCGTGAATAGTAATGGGACACTGGAGTAATTGCTTTCGGTTTTTTCGGTTTCACTTTTAAAGTCGGATTATGTGGTAAGACGGTCATTTATTTTAATCGGTGGTTGAATTTTTTTTACTAATTAACGCTTGCCATTGATTTTTAAATTAAAAAATTAATGGCAAGCGTTGAAATTGAAATAATAGCAATAAAATCCAAAATGAATGTTCGGTGCTTCGGGGGAATGAATACATTCATATTTTTTTTAGTGTACTTACTTCAATAATATGTAATTCGTTTATAAAAAAATATATGTAGTACAAAACTTAAGTTGAATTGTATTCAAATTCGACTCTACAAATCGAAAAATACACATAGAAATTTCAGCATTTAAATCATATGTACATCTCGAAGTCCTTGTTAAGTTGAAAACTCGTTAACTCGATTTTTTTGCATTTCCCTTGACATTCGTGTTAAAGAGATTCCACTGTATATTCAACAATATTGTCAATTAGTCTGTCCTTATGGATAACGCATGAATTGTAAAGGAACAACTTAATTGATCAATTAATTGGTGTTTTGTAAATCGATTTTATATTGTTGATATTATCTATGTTAATAATGTAAATATATTGTTGTTTATGCAAAATTAAAAAAAATCAGTGGCGCAACAACAGAGGTTGTTGTTTAGGGTGTTTCATGATAATTTTTCAATGTAATAGGCAAGTAGGTGTTCAGCCTCCTGTGCCTAACACACGTCGTTGACTTTTTGGGTCTAAGACATGTCGGTTTACTCACGATGTTTTCCTTCACCGTTGGAGCGAATGTTAAATGCGCACATAGTAAGAAAGTCCATTGGTGAACTGCCGGGGATCGAACCTACGACCACAGAGATGAGAGTCGCACGCTGAAACCACTACAAGACCAACACTGCTCTTATGCAAAGAAAGCTATATGAAATCCATTTAATGGTATTATACCTTATACCTAAGGTATAATACCTTAAGTAAGACATCTCCATTATTATTAAAATCTTAAATCAATCATCAAAATCAAAATCTATGTGTTCAAGATTAATCGAGTTAGATTTCACTCTTGAATTAATTACAAGGACTAGACAATTCACGTGAAATCAAAATAGTAATAAATATAATATATATATATATATATGTATACATATATATATGTATTTTTAGGATTTTATACGTTCTAACGAGTAGGCTTAGGGTATGCAGTTAAGCTGTAATATTAACAGGTTTTGTGTTGGGTATTCATTACAATCTATCGATAATGTCGATATTCATCACGATTGGTCAATGATTTTGTTTATTTTCTACATTGGCGCCTGCAGGTCGGCTCTTACTGAAGTGCATATAAATAGTATACAGCTACTCTTTTCCTTTTGATATTTAACATCTAAATGTATTTAATACTAGTTATGTTTTATTTGAGAGTTTTTGTTGTTATAAAAAATCATAAGTTATATAATCATAAAGAGTCATAAAAAATAAGAAAACTAGCATGGTAATTAAAATGAAAGCTTTTCAATCCTACCTGTGGATATGTACTAACATATGGATCTTAACTTGCCCGCTCACTTAAGCGCAGCATACAAATAACTGGCGTGTCAAAGATCGGTGGAACGATGTATGATAGGAAAGAGAAGAATAGATAAAATAAAGAATACATTATTACGAATAATCACCAAATTTTGTGTGCATATCAGTTAGGTCTGCGAATCGAAAACATCTACTTTTCATCCCTCTAAATGTGGCCCCTAAATTTTATTTTTAATTTTTTAGCCAACAATTTTTGTTTTTATTTTTTTTATGATACAGCATACAAAAATACATACAAGCCTTAATTTTCACCCCTCTACGATCAACTTCTATTTTTTATTATAGTAGAAAGTTATTTTTATTGAACTAAAAAAATGTTTCCTAGAAATAATATACATGGCAAAACAACGTTTGTCGGGTCAGCTAGTTATTTTATATTATTGCAGCACCTGAAGCAGAGTGCAAGAGTAAATGGTTAATTCAATTTTAAGCCTTCAAGTTTATATATGTATTAAACGTAATCGGAAATTCATATTTTCCCCAACAAAGACGTGACAAATTTCACGCTCCCTTTCGTTAGAGCGCTATTACTCATTCAGTGAATCACAATGACTTCACACTATCCTAGACGACGAATGAATTATTCATTTAAAAACCTATCAATACAATTATCAAAAAGGATACGGTTTTACCCAGAGTTTTCCTTAATAAGTTTCATGACGATCATACAACTTGGTGGTCTGGATTGATTTATATGTATTGATGATTATTAGAATAGTGTGTTCGTG